CCCCCGCGCATGAGGTTTGTTTCATTGGGATTTCCTGTCAAAATTCTCTTTACTTCTATCAGGTCCGTCGTCCCCTCGGTCTCTTGATTTGCTTTGCGCGAAGCGTTCAGACTTCCTTCGCCCTCAACGCTGCGTACAACTGGAATGCACCCGTATCATGTCTGCCGCAATTAATGTTCTTGAGCACCGAACTTCAGCTCTCCCAAGTAGTAGATAAATCAGGGCGGGCTAAATCAGCGGATCTTGTCGGCCAGAGGAATTTTCAGATTCGTAGCTCTTCGTAAGAAAAGGATGAAATACTTGACGTTCCAACCAACGAACCAGAAAGCCAACTAAGGGCAGGGACTTGCACAAGCGTAAAAGACCACAGAATCACCACCGATATCTTCTGTGCCTTCCTCGTCTGTGGCTGCATCACTTTATTTCGAGACGTTCGCGCCATTTGTCTTAAGTGACGAATGCCGGATCTTCTAAGGGTTGTACGAATAAAATGCGAATCGTACAAGTCCTGAAGTGCAATTTGCATCCTGATACCATTACGCAAAACGAGATTTATGAGGCGAAGCGTGTCATTCCACTTTGCTCAATTTTGGTGTAAAATGGTGTACGAAAACTGCAAATTACTTTCTCCCTCTTGTGAGGATTAATGAGCTGTTTACAGGAATTAATAAGTACTGGAACACGCGAGTATTCTTTTGAGCGGCTGTCGATTACTCAGAGCAGATCGACACGCGATTAGTTTGTATCGATATTGTTACAATCGACTCTTCTACCTTATTCAACGACGTTGTCTTTGCTATATTGTAACTGGTGAGTATGGAATCGACCACGACCTACGGGCGAGGTGTTTTCCCAGCTGGTATCCGCGTGGCTGAGGGCTCGGGATTAGAATACACAAAATCCGGGCCCTTCCAAGTGTGCACATCCGATTACGAGGGGCTGAGGGCTCGGGATTAGAATACACAGAATCCGGGCCCTTCCAAGTGTGGCGTGATGTGCACATCCGATTACGAGTTACTGAAATTTGTAGAAATTGCATACGCAGACTGGAGACTGTGATGGCGGGAGGGTGGGAGGTTCTTCTAGAAGAGGAATTTCGTGTGTGAGGTGCGTGCCTGACTCGCTCTACGCACTCCCACTGTTGTTTTGTGCGCAAGCACGGCTGGTGAAACGGATTTTGTGTCGATGAATCCCTGTTCAAACGCACAGGCGTGCGCTGAATATTTATGTTGTTGCTGGGAATTGTGTAGAAGAATTAATTATCACTTAATTGATTTCAACTCCCGACGTGCAGAAAGTTGGCCATCCATAATGCATGAGGCTGAGACCGCGCCATCCAGTGTCTGCCTCTGGAACTGGACTGCGCAAAAGTGTCGCGACATTTTACGTAAATACGTCAACATCGAGCAGCAGAACGATGTTGCACCATTCTGTCTGTCCCGGTGGAGGGACGTGACGTTCATTAACATCCGTTTCTCTTCCATCTCACGAACTGGGCTGAAATCCAGTTCCGAGGCTGCTGGATTCTTGCCTCCTCGGTATTTTCCGTGGATACCTGCCACTTCGAAGCTTATTAAGAAGGCCAGGCCATTATACAATATCTATGAAAGGGCTCGATCCTAGTCCGGGATTGTCTTGAAATTAACTGCCTCAGAACCGGATACGCCGCTTACCACATGCGAACTCTGACGTCATACGACATTTGCTTCACAAATATGGCACTGCACATACGATAAATGATCCAGGTTTGACGAGGGTTCGATCTGTCGTTGACCTGAATATTTGGTGTATGGCGAGTGTAACGGAGTGAATCAGCGATTTTGTCGTCACAGCTGACCGGAAATCAACGAAGAGGCCTTGCGTAGTGGATCAGTCGCGTTCCGGCACAGCAGATGGAAATTCTGACAGAACAATTGCCGCACACAACGCGCAAACTGTCTCTGTGAGTGTTTTACCTACGACAGGCAACAGGCCACGAAACTTTGCTGGAGTTCTTCAGCGCAACTTGTCGGCTGTCTGTGTTCGGAGTTAGGCCGCCGTGGGAGGAACACTTTTTCAGAAGCCTCCTGTGGCATTGTCTGAGTCACATGGTATCTTTGCAGACGAATCTAAATGTGTTCGAGGAACATGAGAATACCTTCGGTGCTTTGTGCAAAGAACGCATAAAACTTTAATTACGCACTGGCAGCCACAATCCGTCCTTTGAGTTCGACTTGGCGAACAGTTTCATAAGGCACAGCCCTTCCCTTGTTTATAATTCCCATTGTTTACCTTCTAATCCTTCATGGAAATATTCAACGTCTAATCAGAGGAGTTCCGTTGTTCCGTCGTCAGGAATGGGGAGCTCTGTCGGCCGGGCGAGACAACGCGACTGGTCGAGGACAATAGCACGAGATCGTCGCCCTGGCAGCGGATCGTTCCCGGAGTCAGGCGAACAAGAAACTGCTAATGGATTGGTGAGTCTTGCAAATTAAATTCTTTGCTCGAAAATGTCGCATTGGTGTTTGGAAGCTTGTAGCTGCATCCTTCTCTCCTTTCGCGCAAGTAAGAGCCACTTTTTCGCCGTCATATTTGATTCCCGCACGTCTGTGTTTTAAAATTGTTGGTGGTACCGGGTACTGCTCGAAAGCCCACGGATTTTTTTACCATTGTCGTCTGTTGCAGTACATTTTAGCTTCTACAATTTGCACAGGTGTGCCTTGGCGAAGGGGTGTCGGTGGCCGCTGACCAGCTCCGTTCTCTCAACTGGACCGACTACCGGAAGTTGACGCGCGGTCTGGCAGCTATCTTGTTCAGTCCGGCGGAGTTGGCTACGCGATCTGTCACGGGGCAGCGTTGGAGTCGCGCTGGCATCACAGGGGGAAACCGCCCCATCAAACCGGCTCTTGATCGCGCCAAAGTTCAAGCCATCATCAGTGAGTCGTTTGCAGAGTTCATCCCTTGTTTAGGTTTCTTTACTTAGACACAAACTTTCCTGGTTTGATTTCTGTTTGTCGTCACAGCTGACCGGAAATCAACGAAGAGGCCTTGCGTAGTGGATCAGTCGCGTTCCGGCACAGCAGATGGAAATTCTGACAGAACAATTGCCGCACACAACGCGCAAACTGTCTCTGTGAGTGTTTTACCTACGACAGGCAACAGGCCACGAAACTTTGCTGGAGTTCTTCAGCGCAACTTGTCGGCTGTCTGTGTTCGGAGTTAGGCCGCCGTGGGAGGAACACTTTTTCAGAAGCCTCCTGTGGCATTGTCTGAGTCACATGGTATCTTTGCAGACGAATCTAAATGTGTTCGAGGAACATGAGAATACCTTCGGTGCTTTGTGCAAAGAACGCATAAAACTTTAATTACGCACTGGCAGCCACAATCCGTCCTTTGAGTTCGACTTGGCGAACAGTTTCATAAGGCACAGCCCTTCCCTTGTTTATAATTCCCATTGTTTACCTTCTAATCCTTCATGGAAATATTCAACGTCTAATCAGAGGAGTTCCGTTGTTCCGTCGTCAGGAATGGGGAGCTCTGTCGGCCGGGCGAGACAACGCGACTGGTCGAGGACAATAGCACGAGATCGTCGCCCTGGCAGCGGATCGTTCCCGGAGTCAGGCGAACAAGAAACTGCTAATGGATTGGTGAGTCTTGCAAATTAAATTCTTTGCTCGAAAATGTCGCATTGGTGTTTGGAAGCTTGTAGCTGCATCCTTCTCTCCTTTCGCGCAAGTAAGAGCCACTTTTTCGCCGTCATATTTGATTCCCGCACGTCTGTGTTTTAAAATTGTTGGTGGTACCGGGTACTGCTCGAAAGCCCACGGATTTTTTTACCATTGTCGTCTGTTGCAGTACATTTTAGCTTCTACAATTTGCACAGGTGTGCCTTGGCGAAGGGGTGTCGGTGGCCGCTGACCAGCTCCGTTCTCTCAACTGGACCGACTACCGGAAGTTGACGCGCGGTCTGGCAGCTATCTTGTTCAGTCCGGCGGAGTTGGCTACGCGATCTGTCACGGGGCAGCGTTGGAGTCGCGCTGGCATCACAGGGGGAAACCGCCCCATCAAACCGGCTCTTGATCGCGCCAAAGTTCAAGCCATCATCAGTGAGTCGTTTGCAGAGTTCATCCCTTGTTTAGGTTTCTTTACTTAGACACAAACTTTCCTGGTTTGATTTCTGTTCAGAACTTAATTCCAATACCTCCCGTTTCATGATTATACTTCCGGAAACTGAAGTTTCTTTCCGGACAACAGTTGGCGTTGGCAATAAGTTATAGAATCTCAGTTTATTCCAAGAAACGATCGAATTCCCAAACCTCAGACTGTGACGGAGCTGCCAGATGATTTACGAAGGCGATTAAAAAAGTGTCTTCAATGTGTCTCCGCCTGCCACTGGAGCAAGCCACACTCCTGACAGTTGGCAGCATTGAATATCGTTAACCGACGTGCTGAAACACCGCTCGAAGTGACCTTGGACATGTGCGTCACTTACGATCGGACTACGACGTGACGAAACCCTTCAGGAAGTGAAGTCGAAAGCTCTCGACCGCCCGCTGCACATTCCACGCCTTGCACCTTCTGCCTTTATCTGCAGAAGGCAGGAGAGGTGCGTGACTGGCTCCACACTCAACCAAAGACGTGTCTTTGATGTAGAAGGGACCTT